CTTTCCCCCGGACTGAGGGAACGCGGGGCCGTTCGCTTCTGCTCTCTGCCGGGGCGCGATGCCCGCCGGTCACGGTGCGGGTGGTGGCCGAGGGCAGGGAGCTCCGCGGCGCTCTGGTTACCGGGCAGCGCCCCTGCGCTGCGCGGTGGCCCCGGCGAGGCCGGTGCCAGGCTGAGGAAGCGCTGGCCACAGCAAGGCTTTCCCTTGTCCCGTGGTTTGCACGGGGGACAGGTCTGCAGAGGCGCTTTCCCTCTTGCTGCGTACAGGAGGCATCGCACACGGCGCCGGACAAAGGGACAGCTGTCCAGAGAGGGGTTTTGCTTTTGAGGAAGCTCTTGCCCTCCTGCTGAGGAGGGAGTTCGGCCTTGCTTTTAGCTTGGATGCTTCACCACAATCATGTTTTGCGCCTTTTTTTTTTTTTTTTTTTTTTTTTGTTGGTTTTTAAAGATGTTTTGCTTTTACAGTGGGTGCGTAAGAATTATCTTGTGCAGAGAATTGCTGTTTGCTTTTGATACATTTTAAGACTTGTCTAAAGCTGATACTGCTTGAGGTTTTGTGCTCTTTTAAAACTGAATACTGAAGTAGATCTCAAAAAGTGCTGAGAAATACCAGCGTGACACTCGTGCTACGGGATCCGTGCGGTTCCCTACCTTTATATGCTGTGTAGTGTTGTAGATACGATGTCTCCAGCTGAATTGTGGATTTTGCAGCTATCAGTAGTGTAAATGCCGTTCTCCGTATAACGGTAGCCCTTGAATAAGGATGTATCTCTGACCTACTGCATCAGCAGGCGCCGTTTCTGGAATTTCTCTGTGAGAAATGCCATCCAGTGGTAGAACCAAAGCGGGTTTTCTTTCAGATAACTCTCTAGATTTGCCTTTTTTTTGGTGTTGGTTTTTTTTGGTGGTTGTTTTTTTTTTTTGGCACTTTTGCTTATGAATCATCTTAAATCACAAAGCTAGTAGAAAGTTGGGGTTTTTTCCCGTTTATCCCTCGGCCAATTTGATCGTGGCTTTCCGTAAAACTGCGTATTTGTTTAGTCCCTACTGTCCTGCTGCCGTGTGTTTTGTTATACGCCAGTCCTGCGTTTCTTCCAGACGAGGACGATGGCTCAGAGGTCGGACAGTTTCAGAAGGAAGTCGAAGCCTTGCCCCCAGAGCTGAGGCACTACATCCAGGAGGACAACTGGCGACTTGAGCAGGAGGCAGAGGAGTGGGAGGAGGAGCAATCTTGCAAGATTCCTCAGATGGAGCCTTCACCTGCTTCTGAATCGCAGGACCTCTCTTCTGAATCAGGAGCAGGTAATACCACGTCTGAATCTGCAAACCGTGTTGAAACCGGTAACGACCAGCTGGTCAAAAATACCACCGTGTTGGAGCCTTGCATCAATTTCTAGATATCTAGGAGAGACTGTTGATGAAGTAGCAAAGGCAGCTGGTGGAGGCTCTGTCCTGGCAACACGAAAGGCTACTCTGCTGGTTTTGCACGTGCAAAAGCCTTCCAGGCTCGTCACCAGAAAGGCTGTTTCCATTCGTTTAATCATAATGGGCTAATCTCATTTCGCTTCCAGGCTTTTTTTTGCGCCTTTTTTTTTTTTTTTTTTTTTTTTTTTTTTTTTTTAAATAACGTAGAGTAGAAAACGTTCAAGCGCTGTTCCCTGGAGCGGGAAAGCGTCGCTCGGCGATCCCTGACGGTGTGTGCCGTACCCGCTGAAAAGGGGTATGCACAAGCTCACGGTGCAATGCCTTCACCGCTGGGGTGAACGCAGCAGCTGTTTAATCCCGCACAGACAAGCCACAAAGCATCTTAAAACGAGAGAGAAGTCTTGCGGTTCGTGCTCACTACTACCACACCTCTGTCCTGACAGATCAGTCTTCGGTCTGCGAGCAGAGCGTGCGCTCTCTGTCCTCCGAACACGCCATGATCGCCAAGGAGCAGACCGCCAAGGCCATTGCAAACACTGCCGATGCCTATGAAAAGAACGGTGTGGAGGCAGCTCTCTACGAGGTAGGAGCTGGGCCCTGGCCCAGGGAGCAAGCCGTTCTTGCCTTTTATTATCCCTCTTGAGAGACCTTTGCTCTTTCCGCTTCTGTGTGATTCTGTAGCTGTGCCACCTTTACCTCGGTCCCCTTTTGCTTTCCTATATTTTGCTTTGGGTTTTCTTACTCCTTTTCTTGTTTTTCTTCTTGGCCGCAGCCCAAGGAGGTAGAGCCAGTGAAGGCCCAACCGGGAGAAACGGCATTTACGGTTCAGGCAGAGCCACCACAGGACGCTAAGGAAACAGAGTCCGCTGCCCAAACTAGCTCGCAGGTCTCTGAAGTGGAAATCCCCAGCGTGGGGAAGATTCCCGTTAGATCCGATGCAGACGGATATAATGAGGAGGTACAGATCCCAGTGCAGGGGTTGATTACTGCCGGTCATTAACCTGGAACTTTGCAGTTAGCTGGCTTTGAGCTTTCCGAAGACGGGGTAGGGTAGCAGTCTGGCATGGCAACCACGTTTCCCACTGCGGAAGGGAAGAAGGCCAGACCAAATCGTTCAGCAATTTCGTTTCTAAAAGCCGTCAGAAAAGCAGCTCTGTAAAAGCATTCGATCGTTAGATCTGCACGCTGTTCCGTTAAGTCTTCTTTCTGGCACAACTGGATCAAAATTGATCCTAGTGGTATTAATGTATTTACAAGCCTCTTTACGGTCTTCAGTTGCCGTTTCGACCCCTCTCTCGGAGACCGTTAACCGCTAATAACGCAACTTACGGCACCCTAGCTACTGATTTTTTGCATCTGACCGTTTAACCGCACCCGTACACGCTCAAGCAGTGTTTTGGAAGGTCGGTCTTTTTCGCAAGCACGATCGGGTTTCACATAAATACCCAGACGTTTGCTCCTCGAGCGCGTTTCGTACGCGCTCGCGTGAAGTTGGCACAATGAAACGCTCTGCTGTGAGGCGCTGCTCTCGTGTGCGTATGGCTTAAGAAGTTCGGAGGGGGTACGGAGGGGATACGGCTGGTGTGCTTTACGGTCTCGCTTGTCGGATCTACAGATTCAGGGCTGGGATCGACCAGCCTTTAGACCTTTCGGTGCTTAAGAAACGCCCTGCGTGTGAAGTGCACGTGGTAGATGGAGTAAGCGGTACGCAAGGAAATCACGGCGGTGGCTTATTCCGCCTGCGTTCGCACGATTTCCTGCAAGCCTTATCTTTCGAAAGTGTATTCCTTTCTTCACCGTGCCTTCTCTTCTTTCCCTGTCTGTCACCGTTGTCCTTGCTCTTGTTTCTCTTCCTGCTTTCGTGGTAGGTGATGCTGAGTCCAGCCATGCAAGGTGTCATCCTGGCTATTGCAAAAGCCCGCCAGACCTTTGATCGAGACGGGTCTGAAGCAGGGCTTGTTAAGGTATCTTATTTGTTTGCTAAATCCAATCGTGTGGGTATCTGTTTGCGCGGAATGAAGAATCTGTGCTATATTGACGTATCAAGAACGCGAAGGGAACGATTTGTGCGGTTTTTCTTTTAGTTAGCGGCCTTTCTGTCCTGCGTTTCTGTTTCTGCGCTCTTATTGTGGCAACGCATCCTTCGGTTCTAAACAATTTTCAGAGCTTGTGAGAGCTCCCTCCTCCCAGGAGAAACAACCGCCTTTTTTTTTTCTCTTTTTTTTTTTTTTTTTTTTTTTTTTTTTTATTTTCCCTTTTTTTTTTTTAACTTTCCACTATTTTATTCTGCTTATCCTTTTAGCATTGGTAATTCTCTTGATCTGGATTATAAAAAGCAGACTTACTTTGCCTGCCTCGCAGAATCTGTTGTCTAGGTCCTCGGCGTGGTCGTCAGAAAACAAACCAGCGCCTGTCAGATTTTTTTTTTTTTTCTGGTCCTGAACATGCACCCTTGCTGTGACCTCTCTTGTAAAATGTGTCCTCAAGAAACGCGGGTGTTGAGCAGAGGGATCTGAAAGAATGAACCCTGCTGAATATCGAAGCTGGCGTTAGATTTTACAGGCGGGTAGACTTAACCGAAAATGCCGCGTGGCAGAAATCTCCCGTGCTGTTCATCTACAGGAATATCGATCACAAGATAGTCTGGCGCTCGCGACGGGTATAAGCGTATTGCGATCGATTGTTTGCAACCTCAGCGCTTGCAAGAGGATTCCCAGCGCTGTCCAAGGCAGCTGTGTGCCCCCCGCTCTGAAAGCCACGTAGACACCTTGGCGCTTTTGGAAAGCGCACGCCCCGTGCCTGTGGCTTGCCTTGGTGCGGATGCCTCTTGTTTATGGTTCCAGGTGTTCCTAGGCTCCCGCCCGCCACTAGAATATAAGTCTGCTTTTTGTTTTGGGTCGCGGGTCCCCCGCGGCCCCCCCCCGCCACTAGAATATAACCAAGCAGCGGCGGCTAGGTATCGTCCACGGGAATCCCATCGTTCCAGGGCAGGTTTAAGCTTCGTATCGGCCGCGGTGGCGTTCCCACGGGCAGAAGAGCGGACGCGTTAGTACGTGCGTTTCGTTGGCAGGCGTTCCACGAGGAGTACTCCCGGCTCTACCTGCTTGCCAAGGAGACGCCGACCCCTCAGAGCGACGCCCGGTTGCAGCACGTGCTCGTCTACTTCCTGCAAAACAATGCTCCCCAGCAGGTGGTGGAACGGACCCTTCTTGAGCAGTTTGCGGACAAAAACCTCAGCTACGATGAAAGGTTCGTGCCGCGGATTCCGAGGTGAGGCTTGTCTCATCTGGAAGCAGCCGGGGCCGTCGTTCTGATTTTCTCCCTCTCTGCTTGCGCGGAGCAGGTCAATCAGCATTATGAAGGTAGCGCGAGCAAAGCTGAGAGAAATCGGTCCCGACGATGTCGACATGGAGGAGTACAAGGTAAGGGACCAGCGCGCGCCGCCTTTCATCCTTCACGCTGTCGGAACCGGCGCGGTCCAAAGCGGCGCGTGGGAAGCGGGGAACGCGGCGCGGCGCCAGCGAATGCAGCAGCGGCTGGCGCGCCTGTCGGCAGCTTCCTTGCTGTCCGAAGCGCGTGCCTGCAGAAGGGTGCTGAAAGGGAGGAAGAACGCGCGGGAAATCTCCTGAGCTTTGAGGAACGTCTGTGCGTTTGGTTGTTTGCGTGTCGCTTGTGAGAGGCGTTTAAAGCCTTCACCGGGTAAAATCCGACGGGCTTTTGAGTTGCGAAGGAGTGTAAAAGGCGCGCGTGCGCGTTACGGGTGACGCTGACGCTCTGCTTTCTTGCTGCTCCTCAACAGAGATGGCACGAAGACTACAGTCTTTTTCGCAAGGTGTCAGTTTACCTGCTGACAGGCTTGGAGCTGTACCAGAATAGACAGTAAGTGGCTTCGCGTTGTGTGTTGGAATAAGATAAACTGCAGCCTAGAAATAGAGGCCGCTTGGACGGAACAACTTCTTTTTGACCCGTGACGGCCAGTTTGAGTTCGGTCTTGCCTTTGAGGCCGATGGGCTTTCGTTTTGGCTTGCTAATAGCCGTTTCTTGAATCCACAGCCAGCCTCGGCTCACAGTTTAAATGTTGTGACGAGGTACTAGCTGGTTTCTCCAGAGTTGCCCGAATTTTTCCCTCTGTGAAGCAGAGCTTTGTATTTTCATTTCCAGAGACGGGTTTGCAGGAATGATTGCCACCGCTGGTTTTTGGGTTTCCCCCCCCCCGCCCCCCCTTGGACTCCTGTATTACAATTAAACTGTCTTGAATTGGACGTTATACTTTGTGTAAACGCACACTTTGGAGTTCTCTAGACTCTTAGGAATTTTAAGAGGGCCTTTCTTTCTCCCTACTGTTTTAGAACCCGTATTTTACATAAATAGGGCAGTATGGAGGAGGACGGTGCCATTTTATGAAAGGCTTGTAGTTCGAGAAGTGATTTTTTCCAATCCGGAAAATAAACCGGCTTTCAGAAACGATGCATTGGATTCTGGAAGCCGAATTGAATTCTGAGGTGGTTAGCAGCGATGAGCCACCAAATTCAGGTGGGCAAATTGACAAGAGGCCGGGCGAGAGCCCCTTAGAGCTTCCCTGAAACGACCCGGTCTCTGTCAGCTGCTCTGTTTTCGCACCGGGGGGTTTATAAGCTGGAAATCGGCGAAGGAACGGAACACTTTACCTCCTGCGCCGCTTTGAGCGCTCTCCCAGAGTGCAAGGTTCCCAGAGCCATACAAAAAAAGGTCCGTGCCGGCCTTCACGCTCGGGCCAAGTTGTACAGGAACTCAGCTTTGAAGGGCTCTCCCCGAGGCGCTCATTTGGCACGCTGGGCCAAAAGGAACGTTAATTACTTGACGTGGGGCATCTGTTCCTTTATGCGTCGGCAAGGAAACAACGTTTTTCCTGCCGGGCCCGACGCTAGTTACCATTCGGGCCAAACGGAAAACATTTCCTGAGCTAACGAGGCCGAGCGCGCTGCAGTTGTGACCCCGGCAGAGCCCGCGGGCTGGGGAGCTGACCCTCTTCTCCTAGGTACCAGGAGTCGCTCAGCTACCTGGTCTACGCCTACCAAAGCAACACCAAGCTGCTGGTGAAAGGAACCAACAGAGGAGTGAACGAGCCGCTGATCGCCTTGTACAGAAGGAAGTGTCTCCTGGTTCGTATTGAGGAGCTCTGCGCTCGCTCCTAGAGAGGAGGGGAGGGAGCAGCCTGGGTGACGTCGGCTCCCGTGGTGCGGTTCACCCGCCGGCTGCTCGGTGGGCGCCGCCCAGGGAATCGGACCGTACCGTGGCCCCTTTTAGGAGCGCGCCTAATTAGCGTGCTGCGTTTTCAGGGGAGGTTTGGACGCTGCCGCACGTGCTCTTGGGTTTTCACTCGGCGCTTGCGCTGTTAACTCCGTTGTTGCATCGTTTTCTGTCCATTCGCTTCCTCCCCCCCCGCCCAGTATTCATTTCTAACGTTAGTGGCTTTCTCTCTCTGAGCAAGAGATGTTGCCCGCTTCCACAGGGGGCAAAAAACAGCATAAAAATGAGGTTTCTTTTCAGTTCACGCTCCACGGTTGCCGAGGCCAGCGTAACCGTCTCTCTCGTGCCTGTTACCGTGGCTTCTGCCCCTTCCTGGGTACCAGCAGTAGTATGGAAATCTGGGAGATGATAATTCAATGCAAGAATGTGCAGCAGGGCTCTCGGGGAGGCTGGGTGAAGGCGGATGTGGATCTGGGCCTCTTAAAACCAGAATTACAAATAAGCTATATGTACTCTTTACATATACGTAGTAAATTACATATAGGCACCTACATATATATATGTATATATATTTACCGGTTTGTTTTCTGTGGCGTGGTGTGGTCCCTGCGATTAAAGGTGGCTACTCCACCAGAAGCTGGCGCCTGGTTCTGTCGGTCTGTGCGTCTCCGCACGGCCGTCGAGCTGCCTGCCTGTCCTGACCGCACGCTGGTTACCTGAGGTCCCCGCTGGCTTTTCACCGGTCTGTCCCCTGGTTCTCCCTCCTCCCCTAGAAGCTGAACGAGGTGGCAGCGTCTCTGTTCGTAAGCTGTGAAGAGGCTCGTGTGGCAGAGGGCGTTAGCATCCTGAACGAGCTGATCATCCCCTGCATGCACCTCATGAACAGCTTCGAGATCTCCAAAGAGGACCTGGATGCCATCGAGGTCATGAGAAACCGCTGGTGCTCCTATTTGGGACGAGAAGACATGGACGGTAGGGAACGGCTGCCTGCCTGACCTTGTCGTGCTGTTTGTGGGCAGGGCGGTGTCTGGAGCTGGACCGGAAAGGAATGAAAGGACCGTCAAAACACTGCCTTAAATTCCTGGCCTTTGCGCCGTAGCACGTTCGGGCGTTTCTGACTGCGAGAGGAGAAGCGCATTTGAGTCATCCGCTGAACTACGTTACAGAAGAATTTAATCTTCTTTTGCGCTAAAGCTGCAGAGGGAGGGTTCCTCTTCCCTGAAACGTGCAAAGCGAATTTCAGAAGAACGGGGGCTTAGCGTTTTCTAGGCGCGCTTTGCTGTTGGCTTGCCTTACTGAGCGGAGGGCTCCCCGTAGATGGCAGGAGAACGCCGGCAGGCTGAGGTGCGGGGGCGTGCTCCTCTTCGGGAGGGAGGAACGGGTTCTATCAGTGGCCCCAAACATGGCCAGAGTTGCAGAAGACTGGATGGGGGAAGCAGATGCAGGGGATCTTTGCGTTTTGAAGAGAGGTTTGTCACGTTGTGGCTGACCTTTGGTTCTGGGTAGCCGTTCTTCTTCTCTATTTCCTCCTGCAGCCTGGAGTTGGGCTCCCACGACTCCTCTCCCGTCGTTTTTGTTCAGAGAAATTGGGTTCGACCCCCTCGGTCTGTGTGTGAAGGCGTGGGGAGTCAGTACAGGGGTTTTGTCACGAGCAAAGGGCAAGCTTGCCATAGGAAAATAAGGCAAAACCACAGATGTTTATTCTCCAAGTACCGTTGTAAGGAATAGAGGTTGGATAGATTTCTGCTAACAGGCAAGTTTCCCATTCGCGGGCTCGCCCAACGGCGTTTACGTACACGGAGGATCTTGAGGGAACAGGAGCAGGCTGCTCGCGCCTCCCGGATCACCTGAGCTCGCTCGGGCGTCGCCCCTTCCCGCCTGCTGGTCTTTGTCCGAAGGTGCCGGCCTTTACCGCCCGGTCCGGTGGCATTTCTGCGGCCGGCTCCTGGGCGACGGTCCTTCGCCAGGAGCAGCCAATGCCCGCCGAGGTCCGAGACGCTACAGGCCGTAACATCAAGTTAGGAAGGCGTGCTCCGCTTCACCCACACGCGAAGGCCGTATTCGAGCGTCGCCGCGCGACACGTAGTTGCCTCTGACTTGCCAGCCAGCGCTCGTTCTCTAAAAGGCGGCGCAGCTTTGCAGCTCATGGCCCTGGAGCCCTCTGCCGTCTGGTCTTTCACTGTTGCCGTGCCGCTGACTGGTTTTCCTCCTCTCCCCCTTGACAGCCAAGCTGCAGATGAAGCTGGGCGAGCTACTCCCCCGGCTCCTCGACTGCTCCACCGAGGTCGTTGTTCTGAAGGAGCCCCCGAAGATCCGGCCCAACTCCCCCTACGACCTCTGCAGCCGGTTTGCAGCCGTGATGGAGTCCATCCACGAGGCCTCGACCGTGACGGTGAAGTAGACCGCGGACTCCCCGCCGCGGCGCGGGGCACGCGCTGCAGACCGCCTGCCCGCCCGGGGTCCTCCCGTCGGGCAATGCGTGAACGGGAGAGGGAAGAGGAGGGGGGATTCGGATTCAGAGCCGTGTTCTTTGTAAATGCGAACGAATAAAAAGCAGTATTGCGCTTTTGAGATAAAACGTGCGGCGGTAACGCCGAGGACCTGAACCACGGCACTAGCGTGACGCGGCAGGTCCCTGGCAGCACCCCACCGCTGCCGTGGGGTCCCCAGGCCGTCTCGGGAGGTTCTTCTGGTTTGGCAGCTTCCTAGACACACAAATCCCTGGGCCTGCGACGGCAGCGGAGCAAGAGGCCGGCTCCTCTGGCGAGCCGGGCCACGAGCTGTCCTTGCTCTGTCAGGCGCGCGTACGTCCTCCCGAATGATTCGCTACCAGCGGTCGTACGCTCGGGTCTCGCCGAGCTCCCGCTCGCGGGAGTCCGAGGGCGTGACGGGGAAGCAGAGGGGAACGGCGGCTCACGCTCGCCGTCGCGTGGGCAGTCGTGCGGGCAGCTGCCTGTTCCGCTCAAGCCAGGCGGGCGTTTGCCTTTTGTGTTTTAACCGGCACAAGACGACGCGCAGCAGCCTCCCTCCGAGAAAGGCACAGGCAAATAGCGGCAGCGACAAGGGACGGGGCTGTAGAGATCGTCTCCCGCGCCGTCGTGCGCCAGCGATGGCTCGCTGGGTAAGGGAGGTCAGGCCACGCCGAAGGGTCTTCCCCTCTCGGACCGGGAGGCAGACTTCCCTCTCGCCTCTGGGGGATTTTCGGCGCCGGAGCAGCGCTGATGGCAGCTGTGGGGGCCAGAACCGGCTCCTTTTTTGGTGGTGGTGGGTTTTTTTTCTTCGCTGACTTTCTGTAAACGTTGTGCCCCGTTGGCCTTTCCTTTGGCGGGCAGCCTGTTCCCTGCGTTTGAGCTGCGGCAGTTGTTTTAAAATGTTCCGAGTAAGCGGAGGGGGGATCCTCTTTGTTAGGACTATGCAGATTGTTCTAAAAGTGCAATAAAAGCATCCGTTCTACGTTAGAATGAAAAAGCTCCCTCCGTGGTTTTATTTCGCTCCGGTGTTACGCCTTAAGGGTCCTCCTGGCTTCGGTGCGGAGAAAGGGAAGCGGAGGGGAAAAAAAAAAAAAAAAATCATCTGTGGGCACAGCAACGCAGAAACCTCCGCAGCCGGAGGGGGCTCCCGGGCGGGCAGGACCGCGCGCGCGCTGGCGAGCTCGTCGTGGGTCCCCCGCGAAGACGGCGGAGCAGCGGGGAGCTCCCGGGCCAGGAATTCCGGGTGCTTCAGCAGAAAAGCGGGTGAGTTTGGCGACTCGGAGCGTCGCGAGGCTGGGAGCCGGCGCGCGGAGAGGCGTGCTGGGGCGAGGCCGGGAGTCCTGAGGCAACGTCGGTGTCGGCTGTCGATGCCGGGAGGCTTCTGCTGAGTCTTGGTCTTTGGAGCGGGGACTCCTCTGGAGCCCTTTCCCCTTGCAAGCCGCTCCGCGTGAAGGCGGCGGGGTTGGAAGAGGGAGTCTGCCGTTCCCCAGCAAGCGGCGGTAAAGAAGCATTCACGTTAAATTAGCGAAGAGGAGGAAAAGCCGCCCTCTTCCCCTAGCCAAAAGAGAGAGTTTCCCTATTAATTGGGGAATTGAAACATTCAATTACGTATTGAGCTGCTAACGTGACCCTCCGTTACGACGGCACCCTTTTACCTGCTGCTGCTGCTGGCGCCGCTCTGACAAAGCGCAGATTTCTCGTCGGCAGCCGAGGAAGAGGGGGGAGACGCAGGCGGGGGAGGGCTTTCTCCGACAGATTAGACAGATGTTGCTAGGACTTGTTGCGAGTACAAAATTTGTTGTAATTAGCAGAGCTGTCTTTGAGCGGAAATTGCCAGCGCAGTCCCGCCGCTCTGTCGGCGCGCGTTTCCCCGTTACTTAGGAACGAACGGCTCCTGCGGGAGCACCCTGCGTTCTCCCGGTTACTTGACGAGCAAGCGGAAGCGCCGTTAGCTGGAGGCTCGAGCCGCCCGTGTCCGGGCCGGGGGCCCCGGCCCTGGCCGGGGCGGGGACGCTGTTTTTTTTCCGCCCGTGTCCGGGCGGCGAGCCCTGCCTCTGCCAGGTGCTGGGATGCTGCAGAGCCGGGGCTGCCGCTTTTTCAGCTTTTCTCCCCGTTGTCGTGACGGAGAGCAGGAGGACGAGCCCTCCGGCCCCTTCTCGGGGTGCTGCGACCGCAGTGACGGCGCACACCGGGCTTCTGCGCAGAGACCCGGGGCCGCGACACCGCGCGCTCGCTCCTCCCGGCCGGCAGACGCCTGGTGATTTTCCAGACGGCTTTTGCAATGCCGTTGCGTCCTTCCGACTCGCAGGCGCGGAGGACGTGGTCTGGGGAGAGATTCTCGAACTGGGAGAAGCCGGTTATTCCGACCGTCACGAGGCGGTAGCTTTGCCCCGTTCTTTGTGTTGCTGCCAGAAAGCGAAACGCCCGGCCGGCGGCCAAAGCCTGCTTTAGAAAACCCCAAGCAGACTTCTGGGCGCAGGTCGGTGCCTGGAAAGCGGGGAGGTTTGGGTCGGGCCGGGAGGGAGGAGTGTCCCGAAGCGGGAAGCCTTTGCTCCGTGTCTCGTCCTCCCGTTGCCCGAGGGCCTGGGCGCGAGGTTCCAGCCAAAACAGACTCTGCCCTCTGGGCTGGCCGGAGCCCTCCAGGGCGGCTGACAGCGGGCGCGGGCCTGTGGAAAGCACGCTCGCCAGCCAAGAACGCGCCCTCCTCCTTTGCCTCCCTCCGCCTGCCTTAGGAAGGACCCAGCACCCGCCTCTCCCCTCTTAACTCTGCCGTGCCCCGAGCCCGGCGGCGCGAGGAACGCCGGGGGAGAAGCTCTTCTCTCTCTCCCTGCCCTCCCGCTCCTCTTCCTCCTCTCCAGCTGAGCAAAGGGCAGGTTTCGAAAGGGGACTTCTGGGGGAAAGCAGCGGGCTGGCTTCCGTCGGGACGCGGGGTGTTAATCCAGCCCGACGTTCCGTGCCGTGGGGCGCGCAGAGGCCTGCGAGCAGGCTTTGCTTTTACAGCCGAATGGGGAAAACGTGGAACAAAGGGTTGAGACGACCCCCAAAACCCCGCTCTTGCCGCTCGTGCGCAGGTGAACGACGCAGCTGAGGAGCTTTCTGCACGAGGTCTGTGGCACGCTTACGGCTTCATCGTCTCGGCCACGAGAAGCTGAGGGTGGCGCAGGGGACGCGGCCGCCGGGGGCCCGCCTTTGCAGCCGGGGGGGGCTTCCGGGCCCCCCCCGCCC